AGAACCCACCTGGGTCCTTTCTGTGTCCTCCTCTTGGCCTTACACCCTCCAGGGTCTCTCTCTTCCAGCATGATGGTCTGGACTTCTGTATGTATGCCTGATTTCTAAGACAATGAAGAAGCTTCCGGGTCTCAGTGCCACCCACACAGCATCACATCAGCCACCTTCTATTGGTGAAAGGCAGCCATAAGGTCAGCCTAGACTCAAGGAGAGGCAGCACAGACCCCATCTTGTGATGAGGGGAGAGTAAGTCACAGAGGAAAAGGAGAGAAGGGGACTGGGAGCCACAGGGGTAGCAGGCGCCCCCAGATAACAGTGGGGCCACGGCTTCCCCAGTGTTTGTCTCATGTCTGAGCCAAGGTTAGGTGGTATAACCCCCATTCTACAAATCAGAGAACTGGGAAGTGAGGTAACTCATCCAAGTTCTCGTAGTTGTTAAATATCAGCACCAGGGTTCGAACCCAGACAGTCCACCTCTTCATTAACAAGCAACATTGCTGATGATGCCGGACAAATCCGGAATCTCGGTCTCCTTGTCTGTGGAGTGGGGTAAGACTGTATACTAGATGGCAAGTGGTAGCCAGCACCTGACAGGTGGCCCACACTCACTCAACAAACGATTCTGCAGCTGACAACATAGACAGATATTCAGAATCACAGACCCCTCTGAGCTCCGTGGGTCAGGAGACAGCCCAGTCTTGAGCTAAGCTTGGAGGCTAGAGTTTCAGTCCTGCCTCAGCCACAAATCAGCCGTGTGCTCCTGGGCATGTCTCCCTCACCTTCTGCCGTACTGCCAGAGCCCCGCTCGTTGCTAGAGAGCAGCGCCCCGAGAGCTACTACTGCATAGAAACCTCCCCTCAGAGCCCTTGTCCCTTCTGTCAGACACTTCAGGAGGTAAGCAGCATTGTCTGGCCAGGGAAGGTATAGTGGTCAATGGCCCCTGGGAGCCCCTAAACTCTCCCACCTTACCTGGCTGTGTTCCCGGCACATGATGTGTGTATAGTTGCATCTGGTTAGGAAGGAAAGAAGGAAGGAAGGAAGGAAGGAAGGAAGGAAGAAAGAAAGAAAGAAAGAAAGAAAGAAAGAAAGAAAGAAAGAAAGAGAAAATGATGGCCAAAATGAGAAATCACGAAATCAGGGCGAGAACAAGAGAAAAATAGGCGGGAGACATGGAAAAACCGAGGCAAATGAAGAGGGGGGCAGAAGCAGGGCAGAGGCGGGCCGGGGAGACGTATTGGCTACAGCATGTACAGAGCCCTACAGGAGTAAAACAAGCCCGGGCGAGCAATGGCTTTCACTTGTGCAGTGCTGTCCCCCTCCATATAACACCCTGTCACTTGTGTGATTTCATTTGGGTCTTGCAGCAGCCCTGTGAGGTAGTTATCCGTCTTCCTCTGTCTTTTGTGTCTGTAACAAAATAGCTAAGGCTGGGGGGTCATTTCTAAAGCATAGAAGTTTATTTGGCTTGCTGAGCTGAAGGTTGGGAAATCCGAGAACAAGGCACCAACATCTGTTTGGCATCTGGCTAGGTCTCCTCACTGAATCACAGTGCATCGGAGGCCATCAGACGGCGAGGCAGAGCAAGCACCACAGCCCGGAGCCCACGCGGAGATTCTGGCTCCATCGGTGTCAAAGCGGGGGACCAGGGGCCTCCAAACGTTTCCAGAAATCAGGTTGAGTGAGAACCAATGAGGAAGAGAGGCAAAGAGAGAAACAGAGAGGCAAAAGCAGGGAAGGATAAAGAAAAGAAGACGGATGGAGAGTCAGAGACAAGGAAAGGCAAAAACAGAGAGAGGCAGAGACCAGGCAGACAGACGGACGGACGGACAGACAGACAGGGAAGCAGAGGCAGGGAGGCCGGCCTTTATGTCCTGGCAGCTCTTGTGACCTCCTGAACTACACCCCAGCAGGGGACAGCAGAAGCCAGCATTTTCTCTCTGTGGGTCCCTGGGCTCAGCTCATTGCTTCCTCCAAGTGACACTGCTGTTACCATTGCATCCACCTAAGACACGTCCTCTCTGAGGGCGCCACTTCCAGGGCCACCTCCTGTCTCTCCTTCCTGCTTAACAGTGCCAGGGATCACCACAGCCCGCAAGTGGAACCAGCGCGTTCTTTCTCCTGCATCCCGGGAAACCCAGGCTCTCCCCTAGGCCCGTGGCTAACGAGTCACTTCCCTGTAGTCTCCGTCTAAGCCACTTCATAAGAAAACTACACTCTGTGGAGCTGAGCTGAGCTGCTGCAGGCAGCAGGGAGCAGGAGCTGAAGCTGTGGTGAATCACGGCCTGTGGGCTGTCCGGAGCCCACCAACCTCTGGACCTTTCCCTCTCACGCTCACATCAGGGTTTCTGTCAGAGTTGCTTTGATGAGACATCATGGCCAAAGCAACTGGGGAGGAAGGAGTTATAAGGCTTGCACTTCCACATGGCTGTCCCTCAGTAGAGGAACTCGAGCAGGGCAGGAACCTGGAGAGGCAGGAGCTGATGCAGAGGCCATGGAGGGGCTTCCTCCTCGAGGCTTGCTCAACCTGCTGTCTTATAGAACCCAGGACCACCACCCACAATGGGCTGGGCTCTCCACCATCAATCACTGATTTAGAAAATGGCTTACAGGCTTCCCTATAGCCCCATCTTATGGAGGCATTTTCTTAATTGAGCCAGCACAGTTTCCCTGGAGCCTGCTAGTCCTAAGAAGAGATGACACAAGGGGGGTAATACTGAGCAGCCAGGATAAACCCAGTAAAGCCCCAACCCTTAAAGTCCCCAGTCTGAGAGAAGGAAGTCCAGCTGTGGAGTGGCGGCTTGCAGGACTAGCGCTCAGAAACCGCCATTCAGCGGTGCCCACTCAGCCATCAGAGAACTCTGCCTCACCCCACTTCTCAGAGCTGTAGCTCCCCTGTCCATGAAACATAGCAGACATCAGCTTCCTGGGATGTTGGAAAGAATAAGTGAATTAATATATAGAGAGAGACTTCAGCCTCCTGCATAATGGAAAGCTTTCTGAAAATGACAAAAATTATTACTATCATTGTTGTTATTTACTCCTGAACTTGTTGACTGGTCTGAAGTTGGTGGAGAACCTAGATGATATTTAGAACTAAAGTCACTACTTTCTATCTAGTCTGTCAAAATCCCCGGTATCATCTCTCTCTAGCTCTGAGCAGCCCCTGAAGCCTGCTGGTCACTTACTAACCCCAAGTGCAGCCTCACTGGAGGTGTGGCTCAGTAGGTAGCCGCTCACCTAACATGCATGACAGTGGGCTCCATCCCCAGCAGCAGATAAAACAGATGGGATGTTACAAGCCTATGACCCAGCACTTAGGAGGTGGAGGCGGGAGGATGTTCAAGTTCTGGGCCAACCTAGGTTACAAAGCAAACAACGTCAAGCCCAGGATACAGACTCCAGACACCGCCTGGACAGTCTGCCTCTTCCTCTGTCCTCAGGCTCGCCACACCAAGCCTGGGGTGGACATGGGTCCCCTCGGGTGCTCTTACCCCCCTCTACCAGGGCATAGGGGTGTGATCTCTACTGTGGATGTGACTTGTCCTTGAGGTCAGATGGCTTTTCTGACAAGTTCTGACCTGTTCTGGGTGCCACGGGCATGTGGTATCTACAAACATGGGCAGACATTGTGTAGTGGGGTCAATGAGGGACCCGAGTGGCCTGTGTCATGGTGTGTGTGTGCACCTTGAGTCCTGGCTCTAACTCACCCTGCCTCCTGTGACTGGGGCCTCAGCCTGACAACTTCCCCTGGCAGGCAGCCTTTGGAGGGCGTCCTCTTGTTGATCCTCTTGTTGGCTTTGCCCAGCTTGGCCCACAGAGGATAAGCTCTGTATTTACCAACAGAGACACGCCAGTTCTCCCCCTGCTCAGAAGGCCTCTGGGGGTCAGGGAGCAGAACAGGCCATCTACTCACAGCCAAGCAGGTGTCCCCAGGAACCTGCACACTCTTGAAGGTGATGGCTACAAGCTGTTTCTCTAGAGAGCACCACAAATGTTCACACGGGATGGAATTCTATCTCTCATCTTTCTTTCTTCCCCAGTTGTCTTTGTTGTCCCAAAAGGAAGACAGCTAGGTGAGGACAGGAATGACAGAGCCTAGGGAGGAACCTGACTCTGCCCACCGTTGGCTGTCCCTAGAGAATGGCTCTTTTTATGAGCTGCATTGGGTCCTAGATGCCACTCTTAGAGCACTTTTTAAAAAAAGGCAGACCCATTGAATCTCTAACTCACCCTTATTATTGATCTAGAGACGACTCCAGGGCTGTGAATGGAGAAACAGTAAGTTGGACACAGACTCTATGTAGGTCTAACTCTCATAACATGAAAGACTTGAAAATGGGTCCTTGTTGTTCACGCTGTCACAAATGGGAGGATGGCCAGGGCAGAGCCTGGACTGGTCCACAGGACTTAGGAGAGAGCTAGAGAGTCAGGACTCCAATCAGCTCATCCTGAACCCAGCTTCCATCCCACCGGCTGTGTTGGCCCTAAAGTCCACCCACATCCTGGCAGCTACACCATTCTCGGCTCTCACAGGAACTGGGAGGCAGTGGAAGCTTCGCACATTGGGGAATCAGAGGTCCTTCTTAGGCCTAACCAGCCCCCCTTAACCCCGTGACCTTGGCACCTGCCAAACTTCTCTGAGCACCATCTTTGAAAGAGGAGTGGGTGACAAACCCTCTGTACGAGGCAGCTACAGTAACTGCAGTGGAAGCTTCACACATTGGGGAATCAGAGGTCCTTCTTAGGCCTAACCAGCCCCCCCCCGTGACCTTGGCAGCCTGCCAAACTTCTCTGAGCACCATCTTTGAAAGAGGAGTGGGTGACAAAACCCCTGTACGAGGCAGCTATGGTAACTGAGTCGGAGTGTGGATGCTTTGTCCTTGGGGATCCTGGCCCATGTTGGGGGGGTCACCTGTTCTGCAGCTAGGAGGTCCCAACCTCATCACTCATCACCTCCATGCTATTTGCACCCAAGGCCACAGCTGTCCCTCTCTCCCCAGACGTTCCGGTGGCCGGTGGCCAGCAACATCGACAGAAATGAAATGTTGGAGATTCAAATTTTCAACTACAGCAAAGTCTTCAGCAACAAGTAAGTGTGGCCTGATTCTTAGACTCCTCTAGGCTTTCAATGGAACCCTGTACTCTGAAACCATCTTTAAAGGCCTAAGAGCTATCTATCTTACTCTTTTGTGGGACCCTCAAAGTACCCTGGCCCTTCCAACTACTGTCAACCAAGAGCAGCTCACCTCCTGTCCACGCTCAGTCCCTGCCCCTTTAAAGCTCCATGCCCCTCTCTCTGAGCTCTTCCTTATCCATTGGAGGGTGTAACCCATCAGAGAAGCTGGGAGGAAAAGGCTGCTACATCCTGTGACTTAAGGGTGAAGCCGTCTAACAGAGACTGTTCTGTGCTGTGGTTTAGGAAGCAAACATGATCTCAGATGCTTGGACCAGTGATTTAAGGTGTGGCCCTGAGCAGGCTAAGTAACCCCTCCAATGTCGCTGTACTTATGTGTGGAAAAGATAAGAATTCGTCTCAGTACAGCTGTGGGAATGAGATGAGATAGATCTGTCCATTCCTTCACTCAACAAGCATTTATAAAGTGCAAACCGTATGCCATGAACTGAACTAGATGCTAAAGAGAGAGGTGTCTGCCCTCATGGAAGTTCCATTCTGTGAATGAAATGGGCCTACCGCATGAGTGTTATCCTACAAGCTGACCGACTGGGGGAGCCCTATCCTTCCTGTGGGTGACACACAGGTTTTAGAAGGTGCTAGAATGGTGACTAAACGTAAGTAAAATGAGACAGTCTGCCCTGGAGTAAAAGATTCATTGCTCTTCTGTAACCTCCTGGAGACCATGGAGTCCCAACTGGTGTGACAGTGCTGGTTCAGTGAAGGTCTAAGTGACTCCGCAGTGGGAAGGGAGTGTGGACAAGGAAAGCTAACCTAATCCTGAGTCACATCACAAGCAACACAATCTCAAAAGTGCAGGCAAAGGGTCCACTCTTCTGGTATCTGTTGTAAAAACCGTTAATAGGTAACACCCATGGTTGTCTGGGGTGGGGACTCTAATTCTTTCCTTATGGCAAGTAGATGCAAGCCTCAAGAGGAAGTCCTAGGGTCATTTAACTACTCACCAACCTGTCTGTCCAGTCATCCATTTTTGCATCCATCCATTCATCCCATCGCATTCACGCGTCCTACCTTATCATGAATCCTACTTATCAATTCACCCATTCATCTGTTTCATCCATTCACCTACCCATCTACTCATCCACTGTGTTAGTCATGATGGTTGTGAAAATGGGGGATCAGGGCACAGACCCTGTCCTCATCACATGAAGAGGAGAGACACATAAGGACCCAGTTGTGTTCCTAGTGGAGCAAACATCTGGAAGAGCCAGAATCTCCAACATCCGTGCCATCTCAGGAAGTAGTGAGTGCCTACCACCGGGAGAGGTGATCTGAATAGACCCTAGAGGGGGTTCTGACCTGCTCACAGGACCACAGAAAATATGTTTAGGGCACAGAGGCCTCCTCTCTGCCTCCAGGGATCACATCACTCAGTCAGCTTCCTCTTGAACCACAATAAAAAACTTTTGGAAAAGCACCTCACTAGAGAACCCCAAGATACAGCATGACCTTATTATCTGGTATGAGACATCCCTGTGACTAATCAGGCTGGGAGAAGCAGGAACAAGGGATGGAGTGAATGAGGAGGAGAGGCAGAATCAGAAGCCAGGGAAAGTACCAAGGAACTCCACCCAGGGTCTCCCACAGCTGTCAGAGCCCCAGGAGCCTTGGAGCTCAGCAGGAAGGGAAACTGAGGCTCAGAGGCACATGGAGGTCATATGAGAAGACTCTGCATCTTCCACCTCCTCTTCTAAACCTCCGAAACTCCCAGCAGCAGGGTGCATGAATGTGATGGAGGAAACTGAGGAAGAGGTTGCTGAATCCCTTATAGTGGAGGCTTCCAGAGCAGACACCGAAGTTCGGAGAGCCCCCATCAGGACTCCTGCTATAGACAAATCATCAAAGTTCAGAGAGCCCCCATTAGGACTCCTGCTATAGACAAATCAAAGGGCTTATAAATTTTAGGGGCAAACAGATAACCACACAGTGAGTCTACCAAACATTAATGCTCATTTTAGGTGTTATTAAATACCAAAATATGGAATATGGAGGAAATGTGACCCTCCTCTCCTAACTGTGCCCTCCTCCTTCCCCCCACTGAAGAGAAGGCCGGAAAGTCACATGCCGCGCAGGTCTGGTGAAGGGGGCTTAGAGACTGTCCAGGCCACTGTGGACCAAGACCTAGGATGGGGAAAGAGATACAGGCCCATACTGATACAGGCCAACTTAGGAGGAAGGTGCCTGGAGTTGAATGGGCTTAGAGTTAGGGTCAAACAAGAGGCCTACCTGGTTCTAGCCAGCAGTGTTAGGGGCTGCCAGGAAATAGAGACATGGCAGAAAGGAAGAAATCTCCTGATCAGGGACCATAAAGTCCCAAAGTGTGCTTGGTCACCCATAACCAAGGCTTCCTCCAAGAAACCTGGGGCTTCCATGAAAACATGACATTAGGATGAGATTTTATGCATCCCACGTAGCCTCACCAGGAGTTTAAGGGGCAATGGCTCTTTATTCCTGAATAATTCAGAAGCCAGGAGCACAGTGGAAGCCAGACTGAGCCCAGGGCATCTGACACCATCTCCCAGGGGAAGACGATAAATTATTGACAGGGTTCTGGTGCCCTGTTGCCGCTCTGCTGTGGTCAGTCTGTGGACCCATCTGCACCTGAGGCCTCCTCCCTACTGTCTACCTACCTGAGAATCTTGGCTTCTCCCAGGCTCCTCTATGTGGCCCTCTTTCTAATGGGTGAGCTGTCCAGGCCACATAAGGAATGTGGAGTCAGCCTGGGAAACCGAGGCCCAGCAGTAGGTTCAGAACATTCTTTATTGCGATATCAATTGTCCATTTCAAAAGTTATTGTTCCTGTTTTATTTATGTATGTTTATTATTTGAGGAAAGGGGGGTTGTTACACACACACACACTACCACCATCACCATCACCACCACCACCACCACCTCCGCTTGAGAGTGCAAGCCCCTAGTGTTGTTCTGGCAGAGCTTTAAGGGTGGGAACAACCTGGAGCTGTTCCAAGGGCGCAGCTTACAGAGAGGACCCACCCTGGCTGAACCCTCCAAAGGCAGGCCACTCACAATAGCAGGGAGAAGAGGCAGTGTTGCAGAGGGCTACAGCATTATGGAGCTGCATCTCCCAGCATCCGGGGAAGTGGGTGACATCGATGCCTTTGAGAGAGGGGAAAACCCCACAAGACTTACATAGGTTGAAGAACGAGACAGAATCACATAGCTGCCAGGGTGCTGGAATTCCCCTAAGGGACTGCTATGTGAAGTTTGCCTGACTCCAGAGCCGAGCTCTTCCACTGTCTACACCTCCTCCCTTGGGGAACGGCAGTGTGCATATCCATAGAGCTTTGCCAGGAGACCTGTTTGCTGTGTGTGGACTAACAGTGGCGACAGACTGCAGTATTAGGATTGATGTCACTGTCACCCTTGTGTCTGGAAGAGGCTTGAAAACCTGGTGGAGAAGTCGTTTCAGGGATTCGCACAGGTCAAGCTCTCCTCCCAAGCCCCTCCCAAGCCTAGGATCTCAGACTGTAAAGCAAAAGAAATCTAGAAGACACCAGAGGTTGTCTGAACAACTGCAGGGGAATGGCTCCCTCCTGCCCCCTGGGGGGTGTTTAATCTCATTGCAGCACCTTTATAGATCCTAGGAACCTTCTTTGACTATTCTTGGGCATCTAAGATTAGGAATAAATGTTTCCAAGTTCCGGTACTCAACAGTTGCCTGGAGGGGCTTAGTGGGGTTACAGTGGCTTGAAGAGTCTGACAGCAAAGGCTGGAAGTAGGACAGAGATGCTGTGTGCCTCGAGCAGTAGCGTCAGTGTCACTTGCATGCTTGGGAGTGTGCATGCTGAGGGTCCTCACACCTCCACCTCCAGCCAGCAGGTGCTCTAGGACTCAGTCCACTCCTCTAGACTCTACGCCATTCGCATATTGAAATTGAGTGGTCTATGAGTATTTGCCCTGTGGAAATGGGTAAATAATGCAAATTGGCAGTGACAGTGGGTCTGTGAGGCATTAGGGGCTCCCCACAAGATTCCATTTATGCCCCGATTGATTTAGAACCATCACAGTCGAGGCCTTCACAAAGCCAATGTGTTATTTCTTGCTCACGGCTGACTGGCGTGATGTCCCCAAGCTCAGTGCCCCACCCCTCCTCTTTATAAAGGTAGAACTGAAACTCCCCAGCAATGGCTTGAGGTCGATCTCTTGGGTCCCAGCCCAGCACTCTGGCCCTCCATGTGCATCTGCGAGCTGAGGAGAAGCCAAGATGGAACTAGGATCTTCTACAGAGCTTCTCTGGGGAGAATCTAAAAGCCCAGTTAAGCTTTAGCAGGGTGGACAGTTTGCCCTCAAAGATATGAAACACAATGAGGTTGTGCACTTAGGAGATGAGCCCTTCACATTCTTCCCTTACGGCTGAATCTATCATGCACTCAGGGCTGGGCGGTACATACATATTCCTGTGTATATGTGCACATGGGTATACAAATGTATGTCTTCTCTGTGTCTGTCTGTCTGTTTTTCACTAAATTTAGGGCTCACTGATTCCTCAGTCTGGCTGGCCAGTGATAAGCTCTGGGGACCCACCTATCTCCACTCTCTTCATTGCTGGAATTAGAGACAAGCACCAGAGTTCCTGGCTAATTCTTAAAAGACATAGATGCTAGGCATCTAACTCAATCTCATGCTTGTGAGGCAGACCTTTCATTCACTAAACCATTGCCCTAACCCCAGAGTTTAAAAGGCGTTCCCCCTCCATAAGCCCTTAGTATATTGCAGACAGCAGCCCTGCCTATGTCATAATTCATTTGCTGTCTCACTCGTATTTGTCATTAATTGGTTATGTCCCCGGCCCCTTTCTTGGCCCCACCTTCCTCCTCTACAAACTCCAACCAGCACGTGTCCCACAGATCCCTTCCAGGTTTCACACACTGTGTGTGCCTGGAAGCCTTGTTCACTTCTGTAGAAATGGAGTACACTTCTCCATGGGTCCAGATGGAAGTACCACATGAGGGTATCTTTCTGATGCCCTGCTCTCCCGCTGCAACAGCCTTCCAGTCTCAGGGTGGGATGGGATCCAAGTCATCCTTTAATAGACACCCACTACTGAGCTAACATTCATAAACGCAATCGTCAGGGGACTCTGGTGTACAAGAAACACCAAGAGGAGGCTAGACATGGCATGTGCAGGCTGCACATCAGAGATGGGACCATCCGGTGGGGTGAGTGTGTGTTGGGGATGAGCGTGCCATTCGTGAAGTTGACATCATTAGCTTAGCTTAGAAGAAAACCAGGAGAGAAAGCTTAAGCGAGTTTCCCAGGGCAGATATCACCCATGTAAGCAACAGAACTGCGTTTCTGATGCCAAAACTGTGCCTCTCTCCCAATTCTGTATGCTTGTCCCCAGTATGCAACTGAATTAAGGGAATTCCGAGGTCATAGGAGCCCCTCCCACCAGGAGCTTACCAGTTGCAACTGTGGGATGATGGAGGACTGGTGTTGATGAGACTAGAGGCCTCTACCCATCTACCCCAGTCAGGAAGTGGAGGGAAGGGGTGTTTATGTAGCTAATAGTCTGGGGGCTGTAACTCAGAGGTAAAGCACTTGCCCAGCATGATCCAGCGTTCTGTTTCTCCCCCCTCCACACTACTATCACAACCACCATCATCATCAGGAGCACCACCACCATCATCATCAGGAGCCTCAATGCCTCCCCCACCACCCTCCATTATGGCATCTAGAAGCTTCCATACTCTTCAGGGGACCAGCTACAGTCCCAACGCTAAATTCCCTGATCTGTGGATATCATTTAGAAATCTTTCTTCCAAGTTTTCCAGGGGGAGCAGACCATGTATATTCAACCACCCACACTAGTAAGGGGTCAGGTACCCTCACAGACACGCTGTCCTAGCCAGGCCAGCCATGGTGCCCAGACTACTCCAGTCCCAGGCTACGGTCTTCGCAATTGCCCGTCTCTTTGCTAGCCAGACGGTGACATCAGCCTTGCTCCTCACTCTGGCAGTGTCCCCTCTGTCATCCACAGACTCATTGGGACCTTCCGCATGGTGCTGCAGAAGGTGGTGGAGGAGAATCGTGTAGACGTGACTGACACACTGATCGATGACAACAATGCCATCATCAAGGTAGGTGTGCCAAGGAGTCCTTGGAGTCTCCCACCACCCAGTTACCTGAGGGCCTGCTGCGCATCCTGCAGAGGAAGCTGTAGAGCAGCGTTTTCCAGCCTTCCTAATGCCGAGACCCTTTAACATAGTTCCTCCTGCTGTGGTCACCCCCCCAATATAAAATTTTGTTGCTACTTCATAACTGTAATTTTGCTACTGTTACGAATCATAATGTAAATATCTGCGTTTTCCAATGGTCGTAGGCAACCCCTGTTGAAAGGGTTGTTAGACACCTCCCAAAGGGGTCACGGCCCCCAGATTGAGAAGCACTGGTTTAGAGATGTTCCATGATTGACAAGGGAAGCATCAGGAGGACATCAGGGAGACTCTGTCAGAGCCATTGGCTAGTGCTAGAGTCCCTGAGTGTGACTGGGTCCGTCCCATGTAGGGGAAAGCTCACATACCTAAGATACTGGTTGTACTAGGCTGAGGGAAAACCAGGACTGAGTCTTCTCTGAAAAGACACGCTCAACTAGTCTTGTCGCTTTGTCCCTTGTGTCTGTACATAGCCCAAGTCCTGGGGATGAAGGGGTGACCTATTTTAGGAGGACAACAGATGGTTCTATACTGAGGACCCAAAGACCTCACACTCAGGCTTAAGACTAGAGATCAAGGCCAGCCACCTGAGTTGGGGCTCCTGGGAAGAGGAGGGCCAAGTATAAGAGGGCCTCATGGACCAGTCTTACTCAGCATTTTTTCTCATTCGCACACTGAGGCAGGAAGGTCCTCGCTTGGTCTTCACAGGGAGTGAATGTGCCTCCCAGATGCCACAGGTACCAGCCAGCTGCTCACTGTCCCTCTCCTTCCAGACCAGCCTAAGCATGGAGGTCCGGTATCAGGCCGCAGACGGCACAGTGGGCTCCTGGGATGATGGAGACTTCCTGGGAGATGAAGCTCTTCAGGAGGAAGAGAAGGACAGCCAGGAGACTGATGGGCTGCTCCCTGGTTCGCGGCCCAGCACCAGAACACCCGGCGAGAAGAGCTTCCGCAGGTAAGAGGCTGGACCCCTCCTGGTTGCCCACTGCCCCCAGAAGACCTGGGAAGCAGTGCTCTGGAAGGGCCTCCAGGCCTGGCTGAGCTCAGAGGGTGGGGCTGAGTTGTTATAGACATCTTAAGGGTTGGGAAGATGTTGCCATCATCTCTCTCCAGGCTCCCACCCCAAGAGCATGAGGGAGGTTTCAGTCAGAATGAGGGGCCAGGCCTGCTCCAACCCTGAGGGAGATCAAATTCTAACATAAGGGGGAGGTTGGAACTCCTGCCTTCATCAGAGGAATGGGAAAGGAGACAAGGGAGGCCTTGGTTTCCATGATTTAAAACCCAGCAGTGCCCACCAAGCCCAGGCAGTCTGAGTTCTTCCTTGGCCTAGTGAAAAGATCCCTAAAAGAGAGTCGTTCTGTTGCCAGAGTGAGGCTACCAGTCCTGGTCAGGACCTGGCCACCCTCTGCTGAGAAAGATTTGTCCAGGCTTTTCTGTGTCTAAAGTTCATATCTCACAAATGTCCTGCCCCTTACAAATGACAGAGAGCTTTGACCAGGCCTCACCTCCCTACATGTAGTACATTTACCAGAGAGACAATGCTCAGGGGGCAAAGCTGAAGCTAGAGAAATATCCCAGGATGCTGACAGCACCACCTAAGATGCTTGAGACCCATGCCTAGAGGGCTGGGAGCTGTTTTGAGAACAAGGGTTCCCCGTGTCATTGCAAGCTTCTCCCTCCACATCACCCCCCTCCCAGGTGATGTTAGCTCAGCCTGTGATGGGAAACACACAGGTTCCTGTGAGTGGAATGGAATCGAAGTGCTTTTCTCCAGCCTCCTCCCAGCACCAGCTTTACCTCCCAAGTACAAGTTTAAATAAATACCCAGGACCACATGCTTCAGGTCAGCCATATCTCCCACCACACAAATAGCAGGTCCTTTAGCATAAATAAACCCAAGTCTGAGTGCCAGCAAGTCACGTAACTTCTCTCCCCCTATGTACACATCTGTAAAATGGGGGAGTTGGAGCCACAAGCCCTGCTCCAACCACAGTCCTGATGATGAACCATGGGAATATTAGATGTTATAGGTGAAGAACCAAGTATCACCCATGGAAGGGCCGATGACCAGGCCATTCACCCTGGACGGTGCCAAACGTCAGGAACAGGGTTAGAGATGTAAGAGGAAAATCAGACTGGACGGTACTGAGGGGATGTAGCACAAGGGCCACCGCCTGTCACCATCTGCGGATGAAGAAGAGCTCCGTGGGGCTGGTTCAGAGGGAGCTCTGAGAAGCAGGCCACCCACTGTAGAGAAAAGAATGGTGATCGGCGTCAGGAAAGCTAGTTCCATTAGGTTGACCCTGGCTCTGTCCTCATCATCTGAGTGACTCTGACATGTCACCAACCTTCTCTGGGTCACTAACAGAAATAAATGAGTTCATAAATAGACAAGCTGACTCCCCTCCCCTCTGGCCTCCAGCAGGGCTCAGGAGACTCAGGGACAGCCATGAAAACAGCTCCCCTAGGAATTCTTGGTGGCTGAGGGGCTGTCCTCATCAGCAGAGAGGCAGTAGGGGACGGACAGCATGGTGTGGCTCAGATAAAACAAGATGAAGAAGGTACTTCTCAAATCCACGGAGAGGTCTGGTCCAGGAAGGTGGAGTAAGAGGGCTCCCTGAAGCCTCACCATACAACACCCCGCTGTCCTCTCCTCTCCCCAAGTCTCTGGCCAGAAGTAGGGGAGGGGGAGGGGTCCATCTTAGGGACTGGGAATCTGGCAAGAATAACAGCACAGACAGAACCTCTAACTTTCAGTGGATGCTACCACCCTGGGTGAAGGAACGTCCAAGGGAACATTCTTTCCTAGGCGTGACATCACCTTCAAGATGATGTCACCACCTTCTCCTCTCCTCTGGACCTAGCCTCGTAGCCAGCAGGACTCTCTTTCTGCTCATGTCATTTAATGTCTCCTGAGCCCTGATCCATCATCTGCCCAGTTTCTCTGCCCACTCCTCTAGTTACTGCCTTCATCCAGGAACCTCTTGACTCTGCCCACTCCTTACAGAATAGCCCCCAAGTAGGCAAAATACCACCAAGAGACATACAGAAGGGAGTGTGGAGCCCAAGGGCCGCCTCTGCTGTGTGGGGGCACCTCCCCAGTGGTAGGATGGCTCACTCATGCCCACAAGAGAATTAGGAAGAAATGACGGGCTTACTACATGTGAGTGATGACCATGGCACATGGAAGGCAGGTTCTCAGCCAGTGTTGTCTCTCCAGACTCCATGTTACCCTGACCCCAACTGTTTCTCCTCTGAGCACTGCCTGACCTTCATCTGATTCCCACCCCACCCAATGCTATGGGCTTCCCCAGTGCTGCCCACTGGAGGTTCAGATATCATGAGCAAGGAAGGAAATAGCGCCCCCCACTGCGGCCCCGCCACACACCACTGTCCCTGTTGTAAGAAAGGAATGAATTACTAACTTCATGGGCATTTCCACTCTCAAGAACACAGACTCAATATTCCAAACTATGTCTCAGTCTCAGGACAGAATGAGATTTTGAAAACACACGTGTACACACATACACACACACAATTTGCATATATTTACATGCTCACAAATTCTCTACATGGCACCAGGCATTCCATGCTGCCGGATATCAGCCTCGGCTGCTGACACTGGAGTCACATCTTACAAAGGAGCAACCACGTCAATTGTGTGGCTAAACAACGTAGCCTTTTGCTTTCCCCAAGCTCCTTTGCACTCCGAGGCTGCCTCATCCTCTCTCCATCACTTAGCCTCACAAGCTTCCACACACATACACATCCCCACCTTCCGCTACCCAGGCCCCTCTGGTGTCCTGGGGATGTCTAGGTAATAACCACGTCACTCTTTTAGGGGTAGGTTGTGACCCATGCCATTCTTCTTACCCTGCCTATGGGCTTCCTTCCACTCCTATGGAAACCTGTAGAACCAGGAAGCCCCTTCCTGTGTCCAGAGCAGAGAGCAGCAGCTGGTCATGTGTGCACAGTAGGGGCTTTGAGAAAGAGCCGCATTGTGCACTAGGCATGTGTACACTAAGATGTGTGTCTAAGTGTGTATTCGTGGTGTGGTACACATTGTGTCATCCTCAGATGCTACATCATTGGTTCCCATGGACCCCAAAGAGCTAGGAAACCCTTCCCTACCTCCCTTCACCAGGCTGAGATTCAATGCTGCAGTGGCTGCCAAGGAACCGTGCTGAGATTTAGGAGTAAAGTGGTTCTCAGAATATTCCAGTCCTATCCAGACTACCTGAAGCTGGAGCTCCCACCCTCAGCCCAAGGCTGAGGAACCAAGCAAGGCCTAGTGCTGAGATGCGCCTGGGTCTCCACAGGCCTTAATGCTCCCAGGAGAGCACTACTGTTCCCCCTCCTGCCTGTGGATGCTTTTACTAGTTCGGGGAGCCATGGGGAGGGAGGTAAGGAAGAGGAATTGTTCAATGAGGCCAAAAGCAGCTCACAGAGAATGCCGGTTAAGGAGCAAGACTTGCACAAGTGGCAGAAAACACCAACAGTACAACGTGGGCACTAGGAAGAAATCCAGGCATATCCAGGGCTTCCTGGGAGGCTCTGTGGCCATGCAGGCAGAAGGTGAGGTTGCTGCTTGTGCTGGGCAGCTGAGTGACAGAGGGCCGCCTGAGCCTCCACAACTCTTCTCCGTAAGAAGCAGGCAATGGTGAGGATGATCACTCCACATGATGGAAGCTCAGTCACATTGGTGCCTGCTGAAGGGCTAAGCCCGGCTTCGCAGCTACTGTCTCTAAGTCACATCGGTGCCTGCTGAAGGGCTAAGCCCGGCTTCGCAGCTACTGTCTCTAAGTCACATTGGTGCCTGCTGAAGGGCTAAGCCCGGCTTCGCAGCTACTGCCTCTAAGGATGCTAGCAGCAGTCACAGTGGACGTAGTAAAATCACCATGGCTTTCTTTCCCTACTCTATTTCCACTCCCAGAGTGTGGGCCTGTGGTAGCCTTGAGGTCTGGAGTAGGGAAGGAGGGGAGAAAGCAGAAGTCTCCCTACGTCCTGGTAGATGGGACACCTCTCTGACTTCAGAACAAAGCTCAGAGAGAGAGAGAGAGAGAGAGAGAGAGAGAGAGAGAGAGAGAGAGAGAGAGAGAGAGAGAGAGAGAGAGAGAGAGAGAGCACCCCAATTCCCAATTCCTGGTTACTATTTAGTTCACCAATCCCATGTACCTGTAGATCCTTGCCAACCCTGGCCACACACCTCTCTTTTGCAGAGACTGACACATTTTCCAGGATCACAGAGTCTTTTAAAAACAAAATCAGAAACAAAACCCTTCCCCCAAAACCTGGATTGTCCAGTCAGAAAAAAGGGGGCATGCAGCTCTCCTCCGACAAACATGAGGATAGAGACCAGAAATCTTGAATGGAGGCCTAGTTCCCAAATAGCCCACAAGAACCCTTGCTCCTTGGGAGCGGGCCCCAGTAGCCCTTCATGTTCCTAACAGTGACCCTAAGATTAACTGAGCTGGGCTGGAGCAGGGCACCTGAGAGGGTCTCTCCTCCTCTCTCCTGCTTTCTGCTCAGTGGTCCTGGCTGATTTGGGTCTCTCTGAATTATAGACTAAATGCTTGCCTAACACTAAGGCTAGCCAGCTGAACCTGAACTTCAGCTCTGACTGTATACAAAGGCTTCCAGGCCTGCGCTATCAGGGTATGGCCTCGCCTGGACCAGGAGAGTGTGTGAGCGGGGGTGGGGGTGGGGGGTGGGGGGGACGTAACGGTTATTTGCTTTCTTGTCTTCATTCTCATTGTCTCAGCACTGGGGAAGCTTTGGGGAAGCTTTGAGAGAACATCCAGTTTCTGGAAACCTCTCCAAAGGAAGATGGGAATATATCTCTCCTGCTCTGAGCCCTGTAGCAGTGGCTTGGTTACAGCGCATCTTCCTTCTCAGTGGCTGAATGCCCCATCCTGTAGCAGTGCAGTCCCTCCTCTGAGATAGGCTCTGCCCACT